ATCTATGAAATACTGGATAAAGAAATTATGGAATATATACACTACGAAATACTACACAGTGATAAAACAAATGAAATCTGGTTATTTGCAACAAATTGGAGGAATCTCGAAAACATCATGCTGAGTGAAATAAGCCAGTCCCAAAGGGACAAATATATGTTCTCCCTGATCTGACAGCTAACTGAGCACCTAAAAGGAAATCTGTACATGTGAAACTGACACTGTGAGAAGCTATGACTTGATTAGCTCTTGTCCTGACTATTGAGGACTTTTATTTTTTTTAGTATTTTCATTTTCTACTTAATACTATTGCTTGAACTCTTTACTTAACACAGAATTATTCTTAAGTGTTTACATCCAATTGAAAATTATTCACTGTTAAAAATAAGAGTGCGAACAAGAGAGGGAGGAGATGTACAATTCAGCACACGTTCCCTGGGACTTACCCTTAAGGGTAGAGCTAAAAACTTACCATGGGACTCCAAATCCCATTAAGCTGGCAGGTACCAATGCCATCTTACTAGTTAAAGTGATCAGTTTAAGTTCATAATTGATCATAAAGATAGGATTAAGTATCAAAGGGATCACATAAATAAGACCAAATTTCTTCTAATAATAATTGATAGAATTAAAAAGGAGAGAACAACGCAACCTAGGAAGCAGACCACACAATAGATTCATAGAATGACAAATGCCCTAAACAGCACTCTGGCCTCAAAATCAGCCCTTAAGGCATTTGGATCTGGCTTAAAAGCTCATGAGAGCATTTTAGGCATGGAAAGCCAAGACACTGTGGCAAAAAAATGACCTATATGAAAGATCTCTGTGAGTGAGATCCTGGTGGAAAGAAGGGACCATCAAAGAAGGAGGTACCTTTCTCTGAAGGGAGGAGAGAACTTCTACTTTGCTTTTGGCTCTGTCTAAATAATGTGGGAGTATTTGGACACAAGAGGCTTTCATAGCCCTGGCAGCTCATGAAAAGGGCACTGGGTGATCACTGACTTCATAAATAAGAGTGTCAATTGTTAAATCAACAACAGGAATCATTGTATACTTGCTCCCCATGTAGGACCTCTGTCTTTAATGTGTGTACTGTGAGAATTAACAGTAAAACTAGTCTTCAAAGAGTACTTTATACTTTGTGTGTCTGTGTGGGTGCAAACTATTGAAATTTTTGCTTAGCATAGAGTTGATCTTCTGTATATAAAGATAATTAAAAATGAATGTTAATGAAGAATGGGATGGGAGACTCAATAGAAGCTGGGATGGTTTGGTGGTGGGAGGCTGGGTATTTGGGGAAGAACTGCTATAATTCAAAAGTCATACTTATAAATTTATATTTACTAAATAAAATCTTTATAAAAATTTAAAAAATAAAAATAAAATATAAAAAGAATGATAATTTATATAAAACTTCCATTTCCATTAAATTACTTAGGTCTGAATAATATCTTTTAGGATGGATTGATAAAAAGCCATCGAATTAAACAAAAAAGTCTCAATGGAAATTATTTCCTGAAAAAAGATAACACCAAAAACCTATGTTGCTCTTCTTACCCTTTCCTACATCTTTTCTTAATTTTTGTTTATAAAGTGATTTGCTCTGTTTTGATCTTCAGGAAACATATATTGGAACAATTACATGTACTAGAGAGTTTTTATGAAAATGCATATTGCAAAAATGCATAGATTTCAAAAGTTTTTGCACCAACCCAAACATCTTTTAGTTCTATTTTTCCATGTACTTTTTGAAGTACTTTCACATATTTTGGACTTAGTTGCAATATATGCTTGAATTTTTAAGATAAATAAGAAAAATCAATCTAGTATGCCATAGTGTCCTTAGACCCAAGGAAGTTAGCAGGAATTAATTTTCTTTTACAATTTGAGATTTAATGAATGCCGTCAGTTTTGTGCATAGAATGAAGAATGTCCATGACTAGCTTAAACCAAAGTAGTTTAGTATTTCATGAGACAAGAAGTCAAGAAGTGGATGATGAATTCAGTAGTGTAGCAATGTTAACTTTCCATGATTTCCTGGCTTTCTCTTTAGAGTTAAAGGGTTTAGGGTTATAGATTCTCCAAAAATTCAAAGGCAGAAAGGAAATAATTTCTCTGGGAACATGAGTCTATTTTACCAAAGAATAAAGTCTTCTCTCAAATCTCTATCAGATTTCCTTTTATTTCTCATATACTAGAACAGGGCTGCATGCCTACATCCTAATTAATCTTTGGTAGTGGGGACTGAGTTTATAACTGTAGGGCAGGCTACATCTTCCTTGAACCAAATATGTCTATCTCATTCTTTAAAAAATTAAGCTTTCAATAACAAGGGAAGAATGAATGCAGCATGCTGAAAAAGACATGGTCTACAATTCATGAAGCTCTTAATCTTTTGAGTAAACTGAGAACATTTTTCTGTCTTGAATGAACACGAGAGGAGATTAGTAGATTGGGGTGGTTGCAAAGGAAACATATGAAGAGAGTGACATCAAAAAAGATAATGGAGCACAAAGCTCCAGGAATTGGCTCTTTGAAGAAACCATTGAGCTGACAAACACTGTCTTAGGTAACAGTTTTAGAACTCTGGAGCCTATTTAAACATTGTAAAATCCAGGGTAGTGAATGATGAAGAAAGAGGCTGGTCATTGTCTGACCTTGGAGAGAATGGGACGATGACTTCAAGGGTCACACATCATAAAGGATACATTCCTTACCAAACAGTTTGGAAATTCATTAGACAAACTTAAAACCACAAGCTTCATCAAGTAACAACAATCCTTGGGGAGAAGGCAGAACCTGATATACAGTTTATTACAGTACAGAATTTAAAATTTACAGTTATAACAAAAAGTTACAAATCATGCAAAAAAGTGTTAAATTCAGGTGAGTTCAATCCATCCATAGGAAGTAAAGAAATCCATAGAAACCATCCCTTAAGAATCCAAAATATTGGATTTGATAGACAAATGCTTTGACTATCTTAAATATACCCAAAAGTCTAAATATGAATAGGACCTAAAACGTTCCAAAATGTGCATTTTGGAATTCCCAGAGAGAAAGGGCAGAAAAATATTTGAAAAAATATATTCAAATTCCCAAATTTGATGAAGTCATGAATCAACGAATCCAGGAAACTTAATAATTCTGAATAGGATAAACTCAGAGGTACATCAAGACACATTACAATCAAGTTGTTTCAAGAGAAATATTGAAAGCAGCCAGAAAGAAGTCATTTACCAAGTATAAGGGATCATGAGTAAGATTAACAGTCAATTTTTCATCAGAAACTATGAAGGCCAGAAGGCAGTAGAATGATATATTCTCCAAGTACTGAAGAATAAGAAAGGACTGTCAACCAAGAATTCTATATCTGGCAACTCTATCTTTCAAAAATGTAGGAGACCATCAAAAGAACAATTTGAGATGTTGTTGGAATATAACAGGTGACTAACAGGATAGAAAATGGTGGTTTTTCAAATCTTTGTTTACAGCATTTGAAGGAAGATTTAGTTGTGATATCAGCTGATAAGTCCTAAAAATGATTATCAGAATAATAGATGGTATTGTATTAGTCCACCAGAAATGTATGTTATATGCCTAACACCCACTTCTTTAGAATGTGACCTTATTTGGGAATTGGGTCTTCATAGAGATAATTAAGTTAAAAAATCATTAGGATGGACTCTAATCTATCAATGGTCTCCTTTTAAAAAGGAAAATTGGAACACAAAGACTGACAGAGAGAAAAAGAAGACAATCCAAAGATACACAGAGACAAGATAATTATGGGATTGACAGCAAAAAACATAAGCTAGAAGAGACATGAAGGAGTATTCCCCTAGTTTGATTAACTGAAAGTCAAGGCAAAGAGAAAGGCAGAATAAGTTATTCCAAGCAGATTGGATAATAATGGACCATTTGCAGTATTTTTTTCTTTTTTTGCTTAAGTTCTATGGATGGAGCATTAGATACTTATTTAGATACTTAAATTGGGAGATAATTTTTATTAATTAGATATTTATATAAGAGAGAATTTTTTACATTCCAATTCATTTTTAACTAAGAAGGAGGAATTACAGTTTTTCATGTCCAGGAGATTTTACATTTATTTTAGCACATCTATGGTAGATAGGGTGGTAAATAGATGTTCTCATATGTGTCAACTCTGAGCTATTGATAGTAACTAAGAGTAACTACTGTGTTTTGAAGGAGTCTGTGACACAAAGTTTGGAAAAATTTACTTTGTTTATGTCATTGTCTACTTGGGCATTAGAATGTGTGTTTGCCACATGCATGGCTTACATATGCTAGCTTAAAGCTTAGCTATGTTGACTGTTAGATGTACAAAAGTTAAAGTTACCTTTTCCTCAACTGGCTTCTGTTCAAGGAACTTCTTCATGGAATATGTTTATACTGCTTAAGCAATGTTTAAATTCTACTCAGGTCGAGATTTTTCAAAGAGGTTTGAATTTCAATTCATTTTCCATCTGGGGGATAGCTATCAAAGATTCATAGGTAGTATTGCTAATGAATATAGAGTAAAATACTGAAGCAATGGTGAATAAAAATACAGAAAAATATGAGATGATATAATTTCATTAGGTTGAGTTTATGCTTTGCATTTTCAGAGAAGTGCCAGAAAAATTATACTTACTTTCTAAGATGGAGGATTATCAAAAACTTTCCAATTTTCCATGAAAATATTTTGTTAGTGGTGTTCACTGATTATCTTATATTCAGAGTCCTCATTCCAACATATTATTATTGTTATATTTGGCATTTTCAGTGATACTTGTGAAGTCAGGACTCAAGGCACAAACAAATATAGAGATTCTTCCTTGACTGTTGATATTAAAAAAAGCAAGGGAATGTTGTATTAGTGTGACACTTTTCCATAAATATGAGATGTAATTTTTAATTAAAAAGCCATATGTAGTTGGGAACTTATACCTTGCTTTGTTTATGAGCTGTCAACCTAGCTTATCTCTTCATTACAGGTTGATGAGAAGGCTCTGAAGCATATAACAGAAATGGGCTTCAGCAAGGAAGCATCAAGGCAAGCGCTTATGGATAACAGCAACAACCTGGAAGCAGCATTGAATGTACTTCTTAACAGCAATAAACAAAAACCCATCATGGGTCCTCCTATGAGAGGTATAATTTTTGAAGCAAAATTGCCATATAATATTGTTTACTATTAAGAGAAATTTAATGTTATTGACAGAGGCTGGGTTTTATTGTTCTGAGGGCTATAATTTTAACAGTGTGACAAGTGGAAAGAGCACCAGTTTGAGATGTTTGCAGGTTACTCTTTGTCTCTAAATAAACTAACTCTAATAATATCTTACTCAACAGGGTTGTTGTGAGTAATAGAGAAATTGATGTAAAGTGACTGGATCTGTTAATTATTTCCTTTTTTTTTTTTTTTTTGACAGGCAGAGTGGACAGTGAGAGAGAGAGACAGAGAGAGAAAGGTCTTCCTTTTGCCGTTGGTTCACCCTCCAATGGCCGCCGCTGCAGCCGGCGCACCGCGCTGATCCTGGCAGGAGCCAGGAGCCAGGTGCTTTTTCCTGGTCTCCCATGGGGTGCAGGGCCCAAGCACCTGGGCCATCCTCCACTGCACTCCCTGGCCATAGCAGAGAGCTGGCCTGGAAGAGGGGCAACCGGGACAGAATCCGGCGCCCCAACCGGGACTAGAACCCGGTGTGCCGGCGCCGCAAGGTGGAGGATTAGCCTATTGAGCCACGGCGCCGGCTATTATTTCCTTTTTTTTAAAGATTTATTTATTTATTTGAAAGAGTTACATAGAAAAGGTAGAGGTAGAGAGAAAGAGAGAGAGAGAGAGAGACAGAGACAGAGAGAGAGACGAGAGGTCTTTCATCCACTAGTTTACTCCCCAGTTGGTCACAATGGCTGGAGCTGCACCAATCCAAAGCCAGGAGCCAGGAGTTTTTTCGGGGTCTCCCATGTGGATGCAGTGGCCCAAGAACTTGGGCCATCCTCTACCGTTTTCCCAGGCCACAGCAGAGAGCTGGATTGGAAGTGGAATAGCTGGAACTAGAACCAGCGCCCAGAAGGGATGCTAGCACTGCAGGTGGTGGCTTTACCTGCTACACTATACTGCTGGCCCCTAATTATTTCTTGAATATGCTATTTATATAAATGACTAAATAATATGGAAACTTTACAAATTTAGCATGAAGCTAACTTTCATTGGTAGTATTCTTCACTTGTTGCACAAATTTGTCGTATGTTTTTTCAAATACTGTAATCTTTTTTTGAAAAAACCTATGGTTAAAGAATTTTCTGAAAGTTATATTTTTCTTTAAAAGATCCTTTGAACAAGTTCAATAGATCATGTAGAAGATTCAAGCTACAATTTAATGTGATCATTTAAAAATTTTCTATTATTAGGCTGGCACTGCGGCTCAATAGGCTAATCCTCCACCTGTGGCGCTGGCACACCGGGTTCTGGTCCCGGTCAGTGTGCCGGATTCTGTCCCTGTTGCCCCTCTTCCAGGCCAGCTCTCTGCTGTGGCCCGGGAGTGCAGTGGAGGATGGCCCAAGTGCTTGGGCCCTGCACCCCATGGGATATCAGGAGAAGCACCGGGCTCCTGGCTTTGGATCAGCGCCGTGTGCCGACCACAGCGCGCCGGCCGCAGCAGCCATTGGAGGGTGAACCAAAGGCAAAGGAAGACCTTTCTCTCTGTCTCTCTCTCTCACTGTCCACTCTGCCTGTCAAAAAATTTTTTTTCTATTATTAAATATGTGAAATATAAAGAAAAATACAAAAAGAAGTGTATAAAAATCCTACTTATTAGTGATTACTGATTATATTTTAGTTTATTTTCTCCTTTGTTTTTTCATGTTTAGTATACGTGTCTTGGTTTATATCTTAAGGTAGAGGAAAAGGCAGGGGACGAATAAGATCTGAAGATGAAGAGGACCTGGGAAATGCAAGGCCATCAGCACCAAGCACATTATTTGACTTCTTAGAATCTAAAATGGGCACATTGAATGTGGAAGGTAGGCTAACTTAAAGTCAGTTTCTTTTTTCTTTATTTTTAATATATTTTTTAAAAGATTAAACTCTATTTGGAATTATATAACAAGGTTTAATAAAGCAACTGATAATAAGAACCTATATTCTGGATTTTTATAGATGCAGTTAATTACAAATATCCTGTAATAAAACTGTTATATTCTGGAAACATAAATGGCAACTTGTTTTGCCCCTACTTGTATGATGAATAATATCACCAAACTGTTTTCTCCAACTTCTATTTATGTGACAGATTTAGCTATAGAAACACATTCTTGTGTTGGAAAAATTTATTATGTCATCTTACATAATGTATTTGAGTTGTATTATATGTTCTATGAAAATGTTCACACAGTTGAGGGAATATCTTTTCACAATGTGGTCTATTTCTTTTAAAATATTTATTTATTTGAAAAGCAGAGTTAGAGAGCAAGAGGGAGAGACAGACAGAGAGAAAGAGTGAGAGAGTGGTAGAGTGGTCTTCTATCTGCTGGTTCACTCCCCAAATGGCTGCATTGGCCAGAGCTGGGCTGATCCGAAGCTAGGAGCCAGGAGCTTCTTCCAGGTCATCCACACAGGTACAGTGGCCTAAGGACTTGGACCATCTTCTGCTGCTCTCCCAGGCCATAGCAGAGAGCTGGGTCAGAAGTGTAGCAGCTGTGATGGGAACTGACACCCATATGGGATGCCAACACTGCAGGCAGCAGTTTTACCTCTACACCACAGTGCTGGCTTGTAGATATATTTTTAATAAACCCAAGTAAACTTTTGTAATAAATTTCGTTGTCCATTTTTCATGAAAATGGAAGCTCATTTGTTAGATTATATAGAAAAGGCAATGTATTGTTTGAGAAAAAAAAAGTTTTATATAGGTGAGATCTGTAAGCATTAAAATGTAAGAGCAAGTTTTCTTGATTATAAAACATGTTAGTTTTCTGTTGCTGCATCACAAATTACCTGAAAGTGGCTTAAAACAGTGCAAATTTACTGTCTCATAGTTTCATGTGTTACGAGTCCAGGTGCATCTTTGTCAGGGCCTGTGTGCAAGGTCTTACATGCTGAAATCAAGGTTTCAGAAGAGGCTGTGATGTTGCCTGAGGAGTGAGGACCTTTTTACAGACTCAGTAGTTTAGTTCCTGTGAGTGTAGGACTGCAATTTCTTTTCCCTGCTTGATGTGCTGGAGGCTGGTTTCAGCTCCCAGAAGCTGTCCTCAGATTGGTGCCACATGGCCAACTTCATAGACATTTTACATGCTGTTGTTTCTGCAAGGCCAGCAGGAGAATCTGCTTCTTCTTCAAACCTCTCTTTTTCCTGACTCTGAACTTTTGATATTCTTGTGCCATCTTCCCTTTATACTATCCCACTCAGAGCTCCTTTGATTTACTTTCATACTGCTGTCTTCTTATATTTGCTTTAGGTTCCCATATTGTCTCCTAAATTATATTGAGATTGAGGTTGAAAATAATAGTTCATCTATGACCTATATGCTTGTAATGTTTCAGTTCTCACTGTGTGCAATCCTATATCAACAAATGAGATAATAGCATTCTACTTTGAAAAAGGCTTCAGATTCAATTTTTAAGATACATAAAATGAATTCCATACTGCAAACCTAACATCAATGTTAGAGGGATTTATTTCTGATAGACAAATTTTTGCTCACATCTGTTAATAGAGGAAATTGTATTTATAGCACTGTTATTATGACTCAGAATTAGCAAGCTAGAATGTAAGAAAGATAAGGAAATTTTAGTAGTATTGTAAAACCTTAATTTTCACAGGTATAGAGCCTATGATCTTCATAAATTCCCAAATTGATAATTTAAATAATTATAATTATTATAATATAATATATAATAATTATATACATTATATTTATATTATAAATATAATATATTATATAATATACAACATATTATATGTAATAATATATATTATGTTATTATGTTATGTATTATTATATATAATTATAATTATTATAATTAATATCAATTAAAATATTTTTCAGAGACAGTAAAAAAGTCCTTCAATTCACTGGTTTGTTCCCCGAAAGGCAGTAACAGCCAGGGTTGGGTTAGGCCAAGGAAAGGAACCAGCAACTCTTTCTTTTTTTGTGACCTAGTCTATGCTCTATCCTGGCAAATATTCCATTTGCTGTTGAGAAGAATTCATATTTTGCAGCTGTTGCATGGAATATTCTGTGCATGTCTGCTTCTTTGTTTATTTTATGTCTAAATAATTTGTCCATTTTTAAAGTGAGCTGTTAAAGTCTCCTACTATTGTTGTGTTGAAGTCTGTTTTTCCCTTTTGGTCTGTTAATATTTGGTTTCTGTATTTGTGTGATCCCATATTGGGTGCATATATGTTTATAAGTATTATTTTCTTTTAATGAATTGAGTGCTATATCATTCCATAATGATCTTCCTGGTCTCTTTTTGCTGCCTTTTATATAAGATTATTTTTTTTTTTTGATACCAGTATAGCTACTCCTGCTTTCTTTTGGGTTTCATTTTTATTGGATATCTTGCTCCATCCTTTCACTTTCAGTTTATATATATTAGGTCTTATTTTTTGATCCATTTGGTCACTGTATGTCTTCTAATTGGAAAATTTAGTCCATTAAAATTTAATTATTGAGAGGTAAGGTCATACTGCTAATATTTTGATGCTTGTTTTGTATTTTTATTGTAATTCCTTTGTCTTTTTTTTTACAGTTCAGATAAGTGATATTCTCTGATGATGTATTTTGTTTCCTTAGTAATTTTTTACAAGTCTGTCATAGGTTCTGGCTTTGTGGTTTTTGTGAGACTTAGAGAAAACTTCTTTTGGTTATAATAAGCTATCTTGAAATTCTAACAACTTAACATTGATTATAAAGATAGAATAAGTCAAACAAAAAGGAATGAAATCTTAATAAAATATTTGTGCTCCATTTCTGCCTATATTTTGAGTTTTTGATATTACATTTCTTGTCTGTCTCAACATTTTAATGCAGTGATTACAATTTTTTAATCTCTGCAGTAAAAATATAAATGGTTTAAATATTATGTTTATCATTTAGAATATCCTGAATTTGTGTAGTCAGTCATTTTTTTTAAGGATTTATTTATTTATTTGAAAGGCGGAGTTACAAAGAGGTAGAGATAGAAGCGGAGAGAGAGAGAGAGAGAGAGAGGTCTTTCATACGCTGGTTCACTCCCCAGATGGCTGCAAGAGCTGGTGCTATGCTAATCTACCAGGAGCCAGGAGCTTCTTCTGGGTCACTCACATGGGTGCAGGAGCCCAAGGACTTGGGCCATCTTCTACTGCTTTCCCAGGCCATAGCAGAGAGCTGGATTGGAAGTGGAGCAGCTGGGACTCGAACCAGCGTCCATATGGGATGCCAGCACAGGTGGCGGCTTTACCCACTATGCCACAGTACCGGCCCCTGTAGTTAATCTTACTAGTGAATTTTTTACCCTTTTATATTTTCCTGTTACTTGTTGACGTCTCTCTTTTACTTTGAAGGGTTCCCTCTAGTTTTTCTAGTAAGTCCAGTTGGGTGGTAATAAAGTCTCAGAATTTTTTGGTCTGGGAATGTCTTTATCTCCTTCATACCAGAAGGATAGTTTTGCTGGATACAGTATTCTTGGCTGGCTTTTCTTTTTTCCTTCATACTCATCTCACTCTCTTAGGGACTGTAAAGTTCCTGCTGAAAATCTTTTGTCAGGTGAATTGGGACCTCTTTAATGTGTTACATGCATCTTTTCTCTTGCAGCTTTGAAAATCCTCACTTTAACTTTGCAGAGCTTGACTATAAAATGGCTTGGAATAGACTTGGTTCAAATATGGTCATCTTTGACCTTCCTGTACCTGGATAGTTGTATCTTTCTCTAGGTTTGGGAAGTTTACTTATCTTTGAATATGTCTTCCATCCCTTTGGCATTCTCAAGTCTTTCTTGAATCCTAATAACTTGAATATTTACTCTTTTCATGTTATCCCATAGGCATATGCTTTCTTCATTCCTCTTGCTTCTTTTCTTTTTTCTTCTCCAACTGTATATTTTAAAATAGCCTGTCTTTGAGCTCATTCTTTCTTCTCCTTGATCTATTCTGCTATTGATGCCTTCTATTATATTTTTAATTTCACTGAGTGTACTCTTCAGTTGAAGGCTTTCTGCTTGATTTTGTTTAACTACTTCCATCTTTCTATCAGATCTCTGTTAAAATATTGAATCATTTTTCTGGGTTCTCTTCAGTTTCTTTGAATTTCCTTTAAACAGCTATTTTGAAAACTTCATCTGAGTGTTTGTAAATTTCCTGGATGGTTGGTCTTTGACACCTTATTTTTGCTCTTTAGGTTTGGTTATGATTCCCTGGAAGTTCTTAACACTTGTTGGTGTATGACATTTTCTGCATATTGAAAGATTAGGTATAATAATCTAGTTTTATTTGTGATTATCATCTTAGTAATTCTAAGAAATCCTTTTATTTTTCTCTGAGCTTTTGTATACCACTGATATTTCAGCACAAGATAGCATCCTAAGTCGTGGTGTATTCTAGGTTCAACGTTGATATGTTTTTACTAATTTATTCTTGCCATAGCCTCCAAGCTCATATTTAGCCCCAAATCTGTGCCTGATGTGCTCTTTGATATGAACTGCCAAAAACAATAATCCGTGTCTATACCCTTTTCCTGAGATTGTGGTAGATTCAATATCCTTGTCTCGTCTACAAGTTCCATGCTGCTAGATCATATCTGGAACCCTCAGGCCACCAAGACCAATGCAGCCTGAGGGTAGAACCAAAACTCACTTTGCTGTGATCTGACTGCTGCTGAAGTGAGCTCACTGCCCAACTCTGTACCTGTCAGTCACTGGTTATGTTGGCTGGACTATAAGACTATTCACCAGGGACAATCAGTAGAACTTCACTAAGCACTGAAGCAGGTCTCTAGGCTCTGTGTGCAGGTACTGGTCTAAGGAAAGAAACTGTTAGGATCTG